TGGGTGGTGGGGGGAGAAGGAGGGTGGAGTGGGGGGGGGGGGGGGGGGGGGATCTTATGCTTTCAAAGCTAGATTACTATTGCTAGCCTCTCTGAAATCGCCTACCCTACCTGTTAATAGGATTAGGTAAACAAGGTTATGGCTCCCTGTTTAGGGTGTCCTGTAACTTTATATAAGATAGCAAACCTCTAACCCCTTTTAAACAGTGTTTCGGTGACTGACATAGTTGTAGGCCTTGCGAAATTGATGTTTTGTTTAAAAATGTATCTACTATTCTTTAGGTTCTTCGTAAGGATTAATCCTGAGGGGACTAAATGTACCTCAAAATCAGGTATAAGCCGAAGGACGGGTTCAGCTGTCCAAAGGAAACCCCAAAACTTTAATACCCGCGTGGCTACGTTTATGCAGAGGCTTTCAGAATTCGAGTGGAAAACAAGTTAAGTAAGTGCCAGCAGTTTTATGAAGTTGAAAAAAATCTTTGTATAGAATTTTTAAGCCAAACATTTGTTATTAAAGGTATGGGATTAAACACTTAAATGTAAACATGTAATGAGTTATAAAAGGTGTTCTGAAAGTAACCGCTGACAATAATCAGTTTTTTCATGTGTTTCAGAATTGTCTTCATGCTGGCCCTGCTCTGAATACTACTACTACTACTGCTACTATGATAAGTTACTACTTAAGTGACAATTTTTCACCTTGCGATACCTTCTTTTTTTAACTTTGTTATTACTTGTACTGTTCTATTTGAATGTTGCTGTAATGTTTATACTAAATATTTTATTACGGTCCTTTAAGTCATTCATGCAACAATAAAAAATGTATCAACTACATTTTTTTTTTTAAAGGAATAATATGATTACAGTGATACTATAATGTCGTGGTACTACTTAATACAATAGCTACAAGTAGATTACAGCAGATTTTTGTATTGTGTATTGCTTACTGTAAATAAGTAATCAAAACAGTACTGTAATTGCAGGAACCTGCTGATAAAAATAGAAGTCTTAACAGTGTACTTTTAAATGAGCAGATTCAACCCGAAAAGCAAACCTATTGAAGATGTTTTGCACACGGATCCAGCCTAATTTGAAACCTGGTGAGTTTTTCCTTAGAAGTGTGAATTTCAACACTTTCTGTACCACAGAACATGTTAAAAGCTATGCTTACCTATGTTACATAGACCACTAGTGCGGCATGTTGAGGAGAAGCCTGATATTTCCTCAAACTTGCCTGACAGATGATAAATATATTGGGTGAAAGAGCCTTACAGACTCTTGTCAGATGTCAAAGAGAGATAAGGTGGGCTTGTTTGTCGTGGGCCAGAGAGCAACTACACAACACCCTAGCAAGCACTATACAACAACGCTCACTAGCAACAACGTTTTGGCCGTTTTTGCTGTTCTTTCTTTTGTAAAATTCCAAATCGGAACACTCGCACAAATGAACAGAACGTCCATAGCAACAGTTGCCAAGGTACTATAGGCCAGAACCGTTTTGGATGCGACCAATCAAGAAGTATAATTCATGCGAGCTCTCTATACGGTGGTGTACGGTAATTCATCCCATGATCCTATTCTCCAAAATGCTAGATATGCTATGATTCTATACTCAGAAACATACTGAATACAGTGCCATCGCATGTTGAGAATATAAAAGCAGCTCTACATAGAGACTACAGCGTTGGCAGTCAGATCGAAGGACGGGTGTTTACAGTAACGCACACATCGCTGATAAATGGTCCCGTAAACAACGGACATCATGAATAACGTTACTGCTGATTTTCAGACGCAGCTAACATCCATAATGCAAATGCTGGCGAAAGCGGCTGTTGTGGAAATAAGCAAACTTTTCGAGGAGAATTCTTTGTTGCTGCGATTAGAGATTTCACGCTGTACAAACGAAAATGAATCTCTGAAAAAGAAATGTCATTTTCTGGAGAACGAACTTCAGTCAGCACGGAAAAGCGCTGGAAAGATGAACGGGTCACCAGCTCCATTCAACCATCCGGGACTTACAGGTGATTTACTTATTATGCACGATAAATGAATCTGTGTTTTGATTTATGCTGTAGGTTTAAAGCCTGTAGTGGGCAGTCCTTATATCATAATTGTGCCCTTGAATAAGACTTTAACCTTACTCCAGGGGGACTATTTCTGTAACGTAGTAAATAGTAGTTCATCTTCCAGTCACCAAAATACATTATTTCAGTCTTTCTTTAGGCTACATCAGTAGGTGGTGAAGTGACTGGCTTAGTCTGTAATGCGAGTCGAGGAATCATTCACTCATTCACTGGAAAACACACCGAGTGTTTCATGACCAGAACAGTCTTATTTAGGCTATTAAAATATATACATACATATCTATTAAAAACTGAACAAACGTTTTTTTTGTTCTTCTTCCTGTCCTTGTTGTGTCAGCAGATCACCAAGTTTACAAACGAGTTCGTTCATCAACAAGATGTTTTGTTCATTCACCTCGTTCACAAACAAAATACCTGTTCATTACTAAACCCATTTATGTCAGCTTCTTAGAAGACGCAACTATTACAGGTTGTTTTTGTGTTTGTTTGTTTTTCATATCCTGAGCTGAGACCCAGCTATGGAGTTTTTTTGTCTATGTAGAGGACATTATATTTGAGTGAATTTCTCTAAGACCTCACTTGTCACAGTTTTAATGTCCTACAGGATGTCCTGTACAGAGCACGTTCAGGGCTTTTCAGAGATACCAAATGTTTGGAAATATCACCATGACCATTGTCTCTCCTTGGTCTTTAAATATGACTGACATTAATTTAGTGATAAAATTGTACATCTTTTTGGAAATGTGATCATAATTTGTAATTATCATTTAAAATCTGATTTATTTTCAAATTGTTTGCCATAAACCAACATCTCAGGAAAATGTTATGGGGTTTCAAATCAAAATATGACTTCCTCTTATGAAACAGGACATAATTTCATACATGTCCGCTGTAGAGGACACCAGGACTAAAAGCATGTTTATTACATATTTTGGGAAACAAAACAATTGAATAGGAAAATAAATTATATATCAATGAAATCTTATGAAATATTAGATATTTTTTATGAAAAATCTGGCCAATTATTGCTCCCATTATTACTCTTCTTTTTTCAACATGCTGTCCCAACAGCACAACACTATGCAAATTAGATACAGTGTATAGATAACATTGAGTTTAATGGGAAAACCAGTTTATGGATATTTTACACACACATTGCATAAAGCAAAATGGTATATCAAATAATTTTGTTTGGCTATATCTTTTAAAACATAGTTGAGAATCATCCTTGTACAAAGTTTGTTATAAAAAAACCTGAAACCTAAAAATGTATTGGTTATTTAAAAAAAATCCCATTGTTTTTGCCTTTTTATGTTTATTCATGTCATTTTACTTTTTAGAAAAACTGAGTACTGGTGTCCTTTACAGAAGACATAGCATAACATGAATAAAATATAATTTTTCAAAAATTTAATTTTTTTCCCTTATGCTCTAAACCAGGGATCCTCAAATCTGGCCCACGAGATCCACTTTCCTGCAGAGTTTAGCTCTAACCCTAATCAAACACACCTGAGCATGCTAATCAATGTCTTCAGGATCATTAGAAAATCACAGGTAGCTGAGTTTGATCAGGGTTGGAGCTAAACTCTGCAGCGCATTGGACCTCCAGGGTAAGATTTGAGGAACCCTGCTCTAAACAATGTAATGACATGAAAAATTCTAAATTCACAAAGGTTTTTTTCTGGTTCTCAGGAGGATAATAACCCTGCACAAGTTACCCTAAAAACCTAACAACTGTAACTGCAGAGTTTAGCACCAACCCTGATCAAACACACCTGAACAAGCTAATCAAAGTCTGCAGGATTACTAGAAAGTTACAGGCAGAAGTGTTGATAGTGATGTATATACAAGGTCAACAAAGTTATTTTATTACACATTGTATGTCTTTCTTGTCTTCTTGCATTATGACGTAACCAAAAACAAAGCATGTCTTACAGAAGCCGGACGTCGTCCTGCAATTGACAATGTCTTTGGTAAGGAATGGTGCATGAACCTCTGGAGACACGAGGAGTCACATGTTGGTGAGCAGGACACACATCTGGACTCTCCAGTCATCGCAGAAGAGGTTGGTCTCACATCCTGCTGTTGATATACATCAATCAGTGTCAGAATACAGTTAACTAGTTCTCTCTTTTACTTTCTGTCCTTCAGCCAGTAGATCTGCTGGATGAAGAACCAGATATGATCATGATCAAGGAGGAGACATTTGAAGACTGCTCTGGGAAAAATAACCCTGAGGAAGATGAAAGTTCCAGTTTGAGAGGTTTGTGGAGGGAGAACTTTATAACAGTTGCTATTAACTCTTTATTATATTCACATGTTCTTGTGTCATTTGTTGAACTGCAGGACCTGCAATGACCAGTGATGAAAGATGTGTCACCCAAAGCTCTGAAGATTTTATCACATACACGGTACCTTCAGATGACCAAGTCCAATCGAACGTGCACCAGACACCAGCTGAAGAACAAGCTCTTGATGGAACGATCTCTACACATGGAGACAGTACAACAGAGCAGCAAACTTTCCATAGTACACACAACCACCCAAGCACTCCAGAAGAGAAAAGGTTTGAGTGTGTATTCTGTCGAAGAACCTTCAACAAACTAACCTACCTGAAAGCACACATGCGAACACACTCTGGAGAAAAACCTTTCGTCTGTACAGTTTGTGGTAAAAGATTTGCTCAAAAAACGTACCTCCGAATACACCAGCGCACTCATTCTGGAGAGAGGCCATACTCGTGCATGGAGTGTGGAAAGAGCTTTGCTCAGAAGAGCTCTCTAAACGTACACCTCCGAAGCCACACCGGAGAAAAGCCATATAGCTGCTCAGAGTGTGGTAAAAGCTACGCGTACAAACAGGGTTTCAATACACACCAGTGCTTCGGTTAGACTAGTACATACTGAAGTGAACCATTACTGAATTTTATCAGTATCAAAGTTGCTGTTACAGCAGAGTGTGCATTACTGTGCAATATGAACCCTTAAAAATTGCAAGTATGTCCATGTTTGTTCACAGAAATGTATGTCCTGTAAATGAAACGTGTTATACAGTCATCTGTGCATTGAGTTCACCTTCATTTAGGACCATCTCGATGTGTATATTCATTTGAACAGAGGGATAAACAAACACGCTTTAATAAACTTGACATAAAGTGAGTAAAATCATGCAAACCACTTTTTATTAAGCATGGCTGAAAATACACATAGTAATTGCTGTTTGCTTACACATGCAATCTAGTTGACATCTGAACTTGAACAACTCAAACCTCTAGAAGCATTGTACAAACTACATACTACTGAAATTACAGCTTCCGTAAAAATCTAGTGTTACTTGTCGCTTTAAACTAATGGCCCAAAACTGATATAACATTATGATAATGTTTTAAAAAAACAGACCGTAAATCTTTAGCGTAAAACCTTAATTAGTGATGGTGGTGTTTTATATATAGACTATATATATTCAAAAGTTCTATTCAGATATATCCAAGACTACATCCATTCAAAAGTTTGGAATATTTTGTTTAGCATTTATTTGATCAAAAATACAGTAAAAACAGTAATACAATTTACAATAACTCTTTTCTGTTTTATTCCTGTGATGCAAAGCTACATTTTCAGCATCATTACTTCAGTCTTCAATGTCACATGATCCTTCAGAAATCAATCTAATATGCTGATTTACTGCTCAAGAAACGTTTGTTATTACTGCCAGTGTTGAAAAGTTTTTACTGCGTTACATTTTTATAAAAACATGATTTTTTTTTAATTGGTATTCTTCAAAGAATAAAGAGTTCAGCATATTAGAATGATTTCAGAAGGTTCTTGTGACACTGAAGACTTTGCCATCACAGAAATAAATTACATTTTTTAATATATGGAAATAGAAAACAGATATTGTTAATTGTAATAATATTTCACAATATTACTGTAGCTTTCATCAAATTTATGCAGCCTTGGTGAGCAGAAGAGACTTGTTTCAAAACATTTAAAAGTTTAGCCCAGGGGTCCGTTCTTCGTACGTCGCTAACTCGTTTAGCTGGATGTGATTGTTGACGATTTGGCATGATCTTGGATTGTTTGGTTCTTCGAAGCTCATCCCGGAGTTGCTGTCATAGCAACAGGTCCGTAAGCTTAAACCTGCTCGGGAGCAGGCTTATTTCATGTAAACAGGATAGATCGCATCTTTGTAAGCAGAACAGATACTTAAAATCTGTCCCAGCCACTGCTACTTTATTAGAAGAGTACCCTACTGATCAAATTCGTTTGAAGGACCAAATGAGCCAGAGATCAGTTATCACGATTAGAAGATCTGGCATCTTTCAAATCATCTCGGATGTATTAAGCGAGGTACGAAGAACGGGCTCCAGATGTCAATGACCACCATTAAAGGCTGTGGTTTAACAGAAGAAACTAATTAGTTGGTGGGACAACAACTACATTACTGAGTAATACACAGCCATACCTGACTATATATTTCTGCTACGATCTACAGTATTACACACAGAGACGTTCTTTTTAAGGTGCTGCAACCTCACATTTCCACTGTTCGTATTTCCCTTTAAACAGCTACTGCAATCTCAAATTGAGAAATAACAAAAATGTGTGCTACAAATCAACTACACGGTGACTTTTCCTTGGTTTCCTCCTGACTGGTTTAGCCGTTCTGTCATGGACAATGAGGTGTTGTTTGAGGGTGACTTGCTGGGTGAAACCCTTTCCGCAGGTTATACAAGTATAAGGTCGTTCTCCTCTGTGGATGCGTTCGTGATTACACAGGCTAACTTTCTGGGTGAAACTCCTTCCGCAGGTAGCACAACTAAAAGGTCTCTCTCCTCTGTGGATGCGTTCATGAGCTTGTAAATTTCCTTTCTGGGAGAAGCCTTTTCCACAAAAACTGCATTTATTGGGCCGTTCCCCTGTGTGGACCAAATAGTGAACCGAGAGATTGGTGTTTGAATGGAAACATCTCCCGCAGACCTCACAACGGAACTTTTCGTTTGGTTTCAACTTTGAAAATCTATGTTTTCTGAGACGCTTTTTGGCAGCGTTTTGCCGAAGAAACACCTTCCCGTTGTCATAGCAACTGAAGTTGTTTGGCGGTTTCTGTACCTTGACTCTCTTTTGGCAATGTTCTGTCGTGGTTGCGGCATCCTCGTGCATTTCCTGTGCTTCTTCATCCTCCTGAGCCTCAGAGGAAAACTCACCATTGTGCTCTACTGAAAATTGGTTGAGTATAGAGTGACCATCAAATTCCAATGGATCCTCTATTGGTGCTATTAACTGGTCGACAGCATCATCAAAAGAGTTTTTCCTAGAGTGTTTGTCTGATGAATCAGAGGAGGTGTTTTGTATTTCCGATAGCTCTGAAAATTCACCAGACACAAAATGGCTATCAAAACTTTTGGAGTCTGCCAGTGGCTCATATACAGAAGATGTTGGCTGTCCTCTTGAAGCTGGGGGGGTTTTCCCTGTCGGGAGTATTTAAAATAGTTCAAATCAAATCATTCTTTTAAGCATGCTCCAAAATAATTAAACTAGACGAATTAAAGATCTGCTAGAAGTTTTGAACAATTACCTGTATGACTGGGATAAGTGTCCACTTCAAAACACTCTTCTTTGATTATGACCAGGTTGGAGTGCTCTTGTTCTTTGTGCTGCATGAGGCAAAATGAACAGATCGTGTAAAAACGACATTTAGTTTTTTGATTTCATTTGTAGAAATGACTTCTACAAGCCCAGAGTCATATTTAACAACCTTGAAAACGATCTAGACCGGTGATTTGCAATCCTGGTCCTGAGGAACCCCCAACACTGCACATTTTAGATGTCTCCCTAATCAATCACACCTGATTCAGTTCATCAGCTCATTACTAAAGACTCCAAAACCTCAAATATGTGTGTTAGACAAGAGAGACATCAAAAAATGTACAGTGTTGGGGGTTCTTTAGGACCAGGATTGGGAATCGCTGATCTAGACCTGGGGTTCTCAACCACATTTCTGGAGCCCCCTAACCCCTTATTTACACTGCACACGTCTGTGGCTAGAGAATACCCATAATGCACTGTGAGAGTCACATGCTGAATGAATCGCTGCATCAGAAATGTGGTTGGAACCCCTGATCTAGACCAATGCTTCCCAAATCGGTTTTAAAGCTCCTACTGTGCACATTTTGAATGTCTCCACACCTGATTCAAATCATCATTATTAGAGACTGCGAGATCAAAGTCAAGTCAGGTTCAAAGTCAAAAATCTTGCTGCATTGGATGTAGAAATGGTACACTGGCATCTTGCTTCAACCAAAGTCACTTGAACGAACAACTTTGTAATTACAACTTCCCAACTTGTAAATATGCAAACTTCCCAGGAGGACCTGAATGCAAATGTCATATTGGGTGTTTCCAATATGGGAGACATCCAAAATGTGCAGTGGTGGAGAGCCTCCAGGACATGTTTGGAAACCACTGATCTAGACAAAGCTAATATAATGTGCCACACACACACATTAAGTTCATGGGTCCATAAAAAATAAAACGGTACAGTACTACATTTTTAAATGCTGTCAACATTCATTGCATTATGTATCATCTCCCATTGTCAAATTAAACACCCCCCTAAAAATGACTTTAAAATTCAAATTGGGCAGATGGTGCAGTAGGACAGCTAATTTTTTTTATGGTCATTCCATATGTCAAATTCATGGAACCATTAAAAAAAGTTGGGTAACACTTTATTTTAAGGTGTCCTTGTTACACACACGTTACATGTACTCAGAGGCGGACTTAACCATTAGGCAAAGGTAGGTGACCACCTTGGGCCCCCAAAAGACAAGGGCCCCCTAAAATGCTTTTTATATGCGAGATGCACATTCAGTGCGGACGCGCAAGTGGTTGCTCTGGTGTTCATTACTATGTCCGCGTTGAACATGTTTCTTAGCAAAAGTAGGGCGATGTCCATATCGCGGTTTGATTGAAGTGTACTGAATTGCATTTGATTTATTCATTCAATATTT